TTAGGTAGAGAACAGCTACATGACCCACCAGTTATTTTTTGTACACGATCATAAAACACACCAGCAGCTGTTCTTAATTTATGGCAAAGTTCCCAAAGTACAACCTGGTGAGATATTTGTGCTCAAATCTTGCCCAGGCTCAAAGCTGTGAGCCCACACCAACACACAGTCAGAATGTTAAAGGCAAAACATTCACTTAAGGGAATCATCCTCTGCAACCTGGACTTTCAGCTGCCCTTTTGGAAAAGGAAAGACAAGTCATTTGGATATGTTAAATATGTTGTAAAATAAATATTATCCACAAGTAGTTTTATCTAATTTGGGATTTAAAAGAAGTATCAGAGCTGCTCTGTAGAGATTCAGTTTAAGTCACCCCAGATCAAGAGCTGAATCACGAGCTAACCACTACTGTACTACACCCAAAGCCAGGCTGAGTTTATCCTATGATGAATTTTTTAAACTCCAATAGAATCCTACTAAAATAGGATTTTATTTTTTGCCACTGAAGATAACACTTGTTGTCTCAGTGTTGCTGAGTGTTTGCATTTGAAAAATAGGTCACGTCAAGAACTGCTTTGAAATGATTGTTTAAACAAAGCTTACAAACAGAGATAAAATTCTTCTGCTGGAATGTCTTCTAATGTCTGCACCAAGGTTGATCATCCAGGAAGGAGCACGGAGGAGAGCAAAGGGATTTGTGAAGAGAACCAGGAAGAGCAAGAAGGAGATTTCACAGACGTCACAAGGATGTGGAGATAAAGGGCAGGAACACACACTGACATCAGGAAAGCAGAATAAGCCTGTTTTGAAAAACAATTACTTCTTTAGTTAGCTTTAAAATATCAAAAAAAACATTTTTCTAGGAAAGTATATGCAGTTCTTCACTTAATCTGATTGAAGCCAATAAGCCAGTGTAACCAAATTAAATAGCACTGTATGTCTATACAATACCCTGATTTTTCTGTGTCTCTACCTCCTGAACACTCATTTACCAAACTATTTTTGCCCCTATTAACACAAGATAATTACAAACACCTCACATAATAGCAGTCATTTAAGAAAGAATGCTTAACACAGTATCTGTGCTCATCTCCCTTCAAAACTCATCCTCTCTTAGAGCCCAAGAAAGGTCTTTGGGATACATCTTAAAACATCTCCACATCACACACTGTTACCTAGAACAGACAAAACTATTCAAATCAGCAATTGCAGCTGTATAATTTACGTGTCCACATGAATATATTTTAAGCATTCCCATACTGTCAGGTCATGTATCTTAAAAAACATGAATCAGGATCTTGACTAGTATAGTAACAGTAAAAAAAAAAGAAAAATGGAAAACAGCAATGCAAGATGAATCCAACTTCCTGGATCCTATGTTCTATGAAACAACATTTCCAAATTCTATAAAATACTTATTTTCAGAACTCAGCTAGCCAAGGTAACCTGATCCAAACCTGAAGTCAGCCCTGCTTGGAACAGGGTGGATGAGATGACCTTCAGAGATCCCTTCCAATCCATGTTAGTTCAAGATTTCATAAAATAAACTGGAGAATGAGAGTGTGTTTGTACACACAAACATTTGCCCTCTTTCTTTCCAGACACCCTGGGCAATCTATGGATACAGCTACATGGAACACTGCATGGAAAGCAGGACTACAAACAGCACTGAGCAGGGCAGACTGATTTTGGCATCTTAAATACACACCAGTTTTACATTTATGCACAAGAACTATAGATGAAAGTATTGACCTTAGTGAGGTGGTGAAGATGTGAGACTTCTGAGATCAGGTAGAGCTGATAAGTGAGGAGTGTCCAATTTATCTGCTGAATCCTCAGCAGGGTGAAAACACATCCCCACTGCCAGAGCTCTGACTCCTGTACTGGTGAGGAATCTCTCTGGAATTATAAATTATATTAATTGCTTCTGCTGAGACAGGGGAAAAGAAAGGATGCAGGCTTGTCTTGACAGAGGTAACCACTCAAACCACAGAAAACGCTCAGCTTCACCATTCCTCTGTAACCCACATTTCATTCACACATCTCAAACTGAAACTCCACTACTCCTACCTTTGGAATTCCTCCTTTGATGCGTTTTCCCTCCTGCCATCCACTGATCAGCATTTTCAGCGGTGACTCAGGAGAACACACCAAACACGACACGTGGCTGAAACTCTCTCGGGGTGCCCCGATTTAGAAGCCCCAAACACACGTCACTGAACGGCACAGGACAGGAAAGCATCTCACAGAAGGAGTAACAAGCACCATCCCACCGATGGGAGTATTGCATACTATGAAATCAGACAAATGATCATGCCTTATAACAAGTTACATTTCAAATTTATTCCTATTTTACCACGAGATAAAAGCCAAGATGATCTACTGAGCCTGAGGAATTCAGAACCACGTTTTTTCAAGTAACCTATTCCAGCCTCTCACCTCAGTTCTACTCCCCTCTCCAGTGGTGTCTGTGATGACCTACAGAGCTCCTTATTTCACCAAGAAAGCTGCAAGAGCTAGTTTAAATAATTTTTTTCCTCATGTTTTGTTGGTATTTTTACTAGAGAAGTAAATCACAATATAGGCCAGACAGCCTTTCTCCAACAAGACACAGTAAGTTCTCAAGTGATACTGAGTTACTTGAGCTAAGAGCACGATTGTAATTATTGTGATTTTAGAAAACAATTCACTGTAAAGGCAAAATATTGGAAGACTAAGTTAGTACTGTGAAAACTGGCGTTATTGTAACTTCAGTTCTTTAGGTAATGGTCTGAAATTTAAGTTCAGCACAGGACCTGTCCTTATTTAGAAGTTTCCCAGTTTCCATACTTAAAATACTCACATTTCAAAAGGTTTGATAGATGCAGTTCCAAGGAAACCAACTGGCACAGTAAACCCACTTAACAAACACAAAACAAAACTAAAATTCAGTGTTTTTACAGCCACTGCTTGCCTTTCACTAGAAACCTATATAGAATTTTTTCTCATTTTCATATTTTATTTTTCTGCCCTAAGTACTCAGTATTGCCAAGAACAAACTTAACTATGTTGCACAGAGTAATTCTTCTACCTGTACATTTTTAATTTATCATTGGAACAAGAGCGTAAATAATTCCTTTAGATTTAGTTCTGCCATTTGAACACAGTCAAGTTCCACAATTCCCACAGACCCCCAGGTGCAGAAAACCTCACTTGGACAAAAGCAGAGCCGTTGTTCTTGTCATATTCTTGGCAGAATCAGAACCATTTCCATTCACCATTCTGCAAACTTCACTGGAAAATACTAAGGATAATATTCTGCTCTACAGAAGTCAGGTATTCTAAAGCATATGTTGATATAGCAACCCAAATATATCATACATCACATTATAACATTACAAAAGGAAGTTTTAAAGAGTTTACTATCCCTTGATTGTTCTTCAGCATGAAGTGCCAGTCTAATGGGAGAGTTGGGGGAAGCATTAGTAAGGGCTGAATTGTACTATATTCATGTCCCATGAACCAGAATAATCACTCTACCAGTGATTTATGTAGCAAGTGCCCCTCAACACATCACACATGTGCAGTGTTAATCTACCTCCATAACAGTAAGTTGTTCAATAACATACACGTTTGCAGTGTGCATTTAAAGAGGCCCAAAGAGGAGGCTGAACAAGCCAAGAATATGGTGCCCACACGCCCCAGAAGGGCAGAGCTCCTCCCTGCAGCTGCAGATTCTTGTGATCTTGAGGAAAACAGAACTGAAGGCTGAGTTCCTTTTCCCTTCTCACTCTGATGACAGTGGCAACCAAAAATCTGAGAGCACTGAAAGACACAAGTGTCACTTTTCCTGTGAGCCAGAGTTACTTACATGAATGAATGTTTGGTAGTCAAGGAAAAATTGCTAAGGCACAGAGCAAAGGGAGAACACAAACACAAAGGAAGTGGCATTTTCATTCTGAGAAAGCTTCAAAAAATCACCTTCTCAACTTTTTTTTTTTTAAAGAGCTGTCTGTGCAACATTTGGCAAAAGATCTGTTGTTCATAAGACAACACCGAATTTGGGTATTTCAAAAGCACCGAGATAATATTTCAGAGCAACTGTTTCTTACAGCCAGTGAAGTAGCTCATTTAAAAAAACTGAATGTGGAGTGTAATGACCTAATTAGGGGAATTTCTCCCCAGAGAGAGGCTGTTCTAGTGTAAGATGATGGGAAAACCCAGCTGGTTTGAATACTGTAAGATCAAGACCTGAATGCTTTTGCAAGTGTGTGGTTGAAGAAAAAAAAATTATACTCAGAAGGCTGGAAGTTTCTGTCCTTGTGACAAACACACACTGAATAGAGTCGTACTAACCTCAGCTTCTCAGTTAGAAACCTTCCAGGATTACTCATACCTGGTAACCACAAAACAAATGCAGAACTGCCAACACTATTCTGTTGAACCTCAGTTACTGAAAGTGCTCCACACTTATTTCATCTCTGTTAGAGAAGAAAATAATTAAGAGGTGTCATATCAGCTCATATATCAGCTTTCGTGGTATCAAAAGCAAAAACTAAAGCAAGAGATCAAATTATTCAGTAACAAAATATATTTAGATAAATTACTCAGTAGCTGATCTCAATTACTCCCTTTTTTTGAAGGCACCAACACAACACACTCTATAGTCCAGTATTTTTACTTAAGGGTATAATTAATAAACTGCACAAACACCTTCCAAGACATGGAACATGTTAAATTTGTTCCCTAAGAAAAAGCATTCCAAGAAACACTTTCAGATGGAAGCACTCGATGCTGCAACTGCCACCAGAACACTGTTTCTATCTTAAACCTTTCGAGTTTTAAATAAAATGTGAAGAACTTAGTCATTAATACAACCTACAGAAAGTTACTGAATTCTGGCTAAGTTTGAGCAAGACCATGAGCATTTTGGCTTGTCCTTCCTTGTTGCCCCTCAGACTCTCACAGGGAAAATAATCCACTCCACGCACTTTATTAACATTAACATAACACGGTAAAACTTCAGGGAATTAAGTTTAATGTGCTGTTCAACACATAACATGGAGTTTCATACAACTTACAGTTCACAATACCCTCACAGCAAAATCAAAACAGACCAAAAACTGCCCCAGTATTGTTATGCAAGAGCTCGATTTTCTTCTTGCCGCTCACCCTGAAAAGTAACACAACGAGAACCAGTTACAATGTGACATTCAAATACCTAAATATGAAATACGTTCACATTGTTTCTCTAAGTCTGTCTAGGCAAGTGCACTCCCCTAATATGATCTTCTAACCTGGAAATAACAGAAAATACAACAATATTTCCATTTGTGCTTTTGGATGTACAACACATATCAACAGACCATCATCTTACGGTTTTATGATGCAGAAACAGAGGTTTCACTACAGTGAAATACAGATCAACATTTAGCACGACAATAAAGTAAATTATTTAATTGTCTAACTAACCACTCAATTTACTGTAAGGTAGAGCCACGTTCCACATTCACTTCCGAGTCACATTAGAGAAATAACCACAGACTGTGGTTTGCCAGGGGCGGGAGGTGCTTGGGTTTGGGTTTTTTCATCTTTTCTTTTTTCTTTTGTAAATTAAAAACCGACTATGAACACTAAAGCCCAACACCAGCACACGCAGAATCTTTTAGTTCAGTTAAAAATTGCTACTAGCCAAAACAATGCATCAGAAAATCAATTTATTGGGAGAGCACAGGAAGTTGTCCTGCTAAGCAGGTTATTTTTTATCAGGCTTTCCCCCTCCCCATTTCTTTGAAATGAAATCTAAGTTTTCCTTTCCTGCTTTCTAAGAAACTCCTCAGCTGTTCATGCCATTGTCAAGGCATGGTAAGTCTCCAGCATCAACAGCTTGCTGCACTTTCCCTCAAGATTGTTTATTTGCTTTCCAAGGGAATTACACTTTAGGAGAGCCAGCGTGAAGCTGAAGCCTCCCTTTAAAGCTGTGGCTTCCCAACTCAACATTTACTATTGACTGACACCCACTCATCCTACAAGTTTCAATCTTCCTCATCAAACTGCTGTGACAGTTCTGAGTAATTATTTTGTGTTTCTATTCTGCTTCATTTTTTACTGAATCAAGGCCAAAAAAGATACAGTCCATAAGCAAATCTGAGGAAAGTCAGTTCATAGAATCACAGAATGGTTTGGGTTGGAAGAGACCTTAAAGATCATCTCATTTCAACCCCCTGTTATGGGCAGTTCTATAATGAAAATCTGTCTCATTAATGCAGATACAAGTAAAGGAATTTTTGAATCCCTATCATTCAAATACTCCAACAGTAAAAGAATCTCAAATCCTCCAAAGCTTCTTCAAAAAAACCCCTGTTCCACTACTTTGACTCATCACTCTTCAATATTAGAGCAAGGAAGACACATTAAATAATAAAAAATTGTTTAATACCTGCTTTGACAGTTTTATACATTACAGAAAAAGAATTTTAAACTAGCTTGTTAATAATCCAAATGTTAAAGCTGAAAGATAGTAAGAGAAGAAGCCTTAGAGAATAACTGAATCTCTTCAGGAACCTTACTGGACTTTGGTCAGCAACCCTTCCTTTGGCTTTGCTCTGCTAATGCACCTTTAAATCAGATTTCTGTACTTTCTTTCCTTCCTCTTATTCCAACACCCCGACTCTTCACAACAGCCAGAACTCAGAAAGCTGTACCCTTTTACCCGGCAAGAATCCTCAAGTCACTGCCATTGACCCCCTCACTGTTTCTCCACCAACTACACTCTCCACAACAACAGCAACTGCTGAAAGCCAATGTCGTTGGGCAAGACTCCAAAAACAAGAGAGAAACCAAACATTAAACCCCTGATAAAGCTGAGTTCAAGTGTTCTTGCTCCCTTGCCTTTGATGTGTCCAGTTCCTTAACAGTGTTTAGCCAGCCTAAAAACAGATTTGATAGTAAGAAGAATACAACAGCTGCTTTATGACTATTAACTCAGAATGTGCTAATAAAGCACCTACAACAAGACCTTGTGCTTTCCCTGGCCCTTTTAGGCAGCACAGAATGAAACACCACCTTTGGTAAAGCCCAAAACAGTAACAGCAACAGGAAAATATGACACCCAAGTGCCTGGAGAGCAGGAAATACCTGCCTTCAGTGCCTCCCTTCAATAGGAAGTGCAGCACCACGCCTTTAAAAACAAGAAGAAAATAAAGATAGACATTAACATAACCAATGTTCCTTTCTGAAGAAAACTCCCTATTTTCTACAGCAATTAAGAATTTTGCCCAGATTTCTAAAAACACTGAGTTAGCAACTCAGTTTGACCTTACTTCTAAGACCCAAGTTCAGCTACCAGAATGACTTTGAGCAAATCACTTGACCCTGTGGGGACATCCCACAGCCAGTGAGAGCTTCAATGACACCCTCACTCTTCCTCACTGCTCTACTGGGAATGAAAACCAAACCCACCCAAACACCAGTGATGGGATGTTCAGACACTGAAATGTAAACCATTTTCCTCACAGTGAGGTTACACAACTACTCCTGGAAGGTAAACATTCCCTGGAATTACACAGTGTGTCCTAGGATGTTTGTTCTTATCTTTGAATCTCCTCATCCTTAGACAGCTGTTGTTCTTTAGCTTTACAGAATTACCACTGCACATGTGCCTAATCATTTCTCCAGCATTTCATGTACTCAGTGTGATGTAGCATCTTCACACAGACATGAGACTGTTCCAAAGCCTCATTACCTTACCTTTTAGGGTAACTGAAAGTTTTTCTCATACCAAACCACCTTTCACAATATTTCTCACATCTCAGAAGGCTGAAACAAGCAATCAATTAAACACAAACCCTCTGTCTCACCTGTATCAAATCAGTCCCAGGAATTCAATTATTGCTGCACTCCAAACTAAAATTACATTGCCAGTGAAAAATGCTGTTTTGAAGAATGTACTTGAATTTGTCAGCTTCATCAGCACTGGTATTTGTTTTCTCCTGCCCTAGCTTCCAAGAATTCTTCTGTGCCACGGAACTGCTTTCAGAACCTCAGGTTGTTTGCCTACTAAAATGAAAAGTAGGAAGAATTAGAAAAGTCACAAGCAAAACCACAATGGAAGGTGACAGACAAACATGGTACTTGACATACTTCACCATCTTAGCGAGGGGTTTGGACACACCATGCAATGCCAGTGCAACGTCCTACGGCCTCCGTGTCCCCCTGCACACATCAGAAAATACAGTTTTATAAAGGTCAGACAACTAAGACATGGATGAAATTACAATTATTCAGTAACACTGTTGTGGGTAATCAAAACCTGAACAAAGAGTAATGGACAAGCATACCTATTGGAGGCTCCTCTGATCTCAATGGGAATGCCTCAGTTACTGGAGACACTGCAGTAACACAGACCAGCAGCCGATGGTGGGGTGGCCTCGCTGAGCACAGCACTATTTTTAGATAGTTTAACACATCACTTAGTGTGTAACATCACTCAGTCAACAGTGAAACGTTTTTCTTCTGAGAAAGGTTAAAGCACATGCAGCTGCACTTGCCTGGACATTGTACTCCTGTAAATATCCAACTGCTGAGGAGGATACATGTAAAGCACTGGCTATTTCCTTGTTCACTCATGAGCTTGTATACAATTAGGGAAGGTAGTCATTGAACAAATATTTTTGCTGTGTGTACTCTACAACTCTTCCAAAATCTCTCAGATTTTTGCCTCAGAAGAACTAGACCATCTATTATGCACCAAGACGTTTTCAGATAATGAATCAGAGCATGAATGACATGAACTTCTAATAAACAAAATTAAATATGATAATAAAATCAAAATACTTTCGAATGCAAAACATGCAAAGGACCACAGTGTCACTAACGTGTCATCTGCCCGTGCCAACACACAGTCCTGGGGTGTCTCTCGCTCCTCCTTCACAGTCACAACTCTCACATCTCCCAGGCCAGAACAAGCAGATTCTTTATGCAGCTGCTCATCATTGTCATACCTGCAAATACAACCCAGATTGTTGACTGAAACACTTCTTCGGCAAAAAAGTTCCGTCTCTGTTTCATCTACCACCAGTGTCATGTGCTCAGCAACACAGACAACAAAACAGACAGAAGCTCTTTGGCAAAAGATATTAAAAATCTTCAATTTTAATTAAATTATATTACACTTTCCCTTTATAGATATAACTTTCACCCCATTATTTTTAAGTATCAGCTACAGTCTTTCAAGTAGTACCGAGGAAAACATTTCATCCACCCTTCCCATGTAAAGAGAGGACAGTACTCACGTCCCATCTGCTGCTATTAAAGATGTGCTGCCTGACAGAGCTCTTTCTTCCTTCATAGTGATCCTCCTGACACCCTCAGGGAGGGGACAGAGCGGGGCTTTTGACAGTGGGTCGTAGCTGTCATACCTAGAAAAGAAATACACAATTGGTATCAACACCCAGCACTATTTACTCAGTATTAGTAAACAGAGGAGTGTTGTGGCAATATACCCACAAATCCAATAAAAACCCTGCAACTTCTGCATCGTTCCTGAAATCCAGCTTCTCCTTAAGTGTCAGCCACCGCTCAATGTGATTTCCCACATAAATCCTCGTTTTGCCCCTTCTTCTATCAAGACTTTGCTTTCTCTTTTTCTTTTCCAGGAAGGACAACACCGGGGGCCTTCCACACCTCTTTGCTGGCAGGGACATGGTGAGCCTGGAAATAAAGGAGAGACTTCAGTGAAGGGCAGCTCAGAGCAGTGGGTGGTACCTCAGCGTTCCAAGCCACCACAGTGGTGACGGCCACGTGCCTTTGGCTCCTTGGATGTCAAACCCCTGAGGGGGGCAGAAAACCCCTCACACACTTGCCCCTGAGGGGAGGGAAAGGCCCCTGACGACAACACCTCTGATGAGGGGGAGAAGAGCCCTTCACACAGCAACACCTGAGGGGGGAGAAAAGCCCCTCACACAGCTGCCCCTGAGGGTGGGGAAAAGCCCCTCACACAACCACCCCTCAGAAGGGAAAAGGTCCCTCACACAGCCGCCCTTCAGGGGGGAACGAGGCCCTCACACAGCCGCCCTTCAGGGGGGAACGAGTGCCTCACACAGCCGCCCCTGAGGGGGGAACGAGCCCCTCACACAGCCGCCCCTCAGGGTGGGGAAAAGCCTCTCACACAGCTGCCCCTGAGGAGGAAAAAGGTCCCTCACACGGCCGCCCCTGAGGAGGAAAAAGGTCCCTCACACGGCCGCCCCTGAGGGGGGAAAGAGCCCCTCACACAGCCGCCTCTGAGGTGGGGACGAAACCCTAACGCCGCCGCGCCAGGGAAGGGGACAAGAGCTCCTCGCACAGCCACCCCTGAGGGGGGAAAGCCGCTCACACAGCCGCCCCTAAGGGTGTGGAAAAGCCCCTCACACAGCTGCCCCTGAGGAGGAAAAAGGTCCCTCACACAGAGCCCCTCACGCCGCCCAAGGGGGAACAGTCCCGCCTCACACCTCCCCCGAGAGGGGACGAGTCCTTCCCCGGCGCCGTCCCACGAGCCCTCAGCCCCTCCCGCTCCCGCCGCCCCCTCACACGCTCCCCCCGGGGTCGGTCCCTCGCTCGGTCCCTCACCCGCCGCGCTGCCGACCGAGGTAAACACGGGGCACGTGACCACAGGGAAGGCACGTGACCGGCGGCGGCGCGCGCTGATGGCGCGAAAATCACGTGAGGGCGGGGCGGGTCCGACCCTCCGGGTTTAAGGAAAACGGTTTAAAAGGTTTTTTTTTTTAATGTCAAAACAGGGCCGTAACTACGGTCACGTCTGCTGAGGGAGCGGTCAGCGGTGCGCAGGTAAAAACTCCTCTCTACAAATCGCTGAAGGTCAGAGGAAGAGGTAACGCGATATGTATTTTTTGAATATTCATTTGATCTCGAACTGAAGTAAATGTGTTATACACAATAATAAAAAAAAAATAAAATTGAAGTTTCCCCAAGCAACTCCCAGCAGGAGTTCCCAAAATACTTACCTTACCTTCTTAAAGGCCAAGTCAGAGACAAAATTGGAATCGTCCCCTGAAGAGAAAAAAAATGCTTGAAGTGTGAGTTACCTGTTAAAATACTAAATCGGTGACACAAAGAGAAAGGAAATGCAGCGTAAATTTGGACTCCCTGCTGGCACAGTGTGTTATAGCAGTGACATGCACACAGGCTGCATTGCACCAGCTGCTTGGCACCTCCACACGCTCCTGCTGACACACAGTGCATTTTTAAATAAGTGAATAAAAATGCAAACCAATAGCTGGCAATATTTGTGGATAATTTTATATAAACAGGAGAGGGAAAGTCATATGTACCAATTCTTTTTTTTTTCGTTTCTCCTGTTGGTTTTGGTACAATCACAGTAACAAGTTGGCTCAAGAACTGGGACGTGACTGAAGGCTGATAGAAACATTTATTTCAGTCTGCTGAATGAGCTGAATAACCAAAACACTTCGGGGTTTTTGTTTGTTGTCCAACATTTACATAACTTGAAAATAAAGAAGCGAAGAGGAAAAAAGCCATCACGTCCTGAAATCTATTTCAGTCTTTTTTTCATTTACAGCTACAGCACGTGAGCAGATTTTCACGGCACGTTTTACTGTGTGAGTTAATAGAGAAGTAATTTTAAAGGATTACTGTGGCATAATTACAAGTTCTCTCAAATAGCTCAAATTCTCAGTGATATATGTATATTAAGATAATACCTTGCACTTCAGTCTTTCATTTAAATATAATTCCTTCTCATTTACCATTATTTCTGTAAAATACTTACTGGCACTGTTTCCAAATAAACGGGACTGTTAAGAGGCTTTTCATACTTATCTCTTCTGATTGCCTTCACAAATATAGTTATTGTCTGTATAAATAGATTCACATTCCAAATAACAGAACTGTGTGAAGCACCAAAAGCTGTTGTGTGCTTTAAGTTCCTGTTTGTCTTGAAATCACAAAGCTGCTGGGAGAAGCAAGAGGGTACAGGCAACATTTATTTCTACCAAGTAATTTGGAAACAAAAGCATTTATGCAGTAACTCACCTCTTATGCCAACAAAGTTAAGCAACCTACTGTTTTTCTGCCTGCTAGTAAAATTAAAAACAGAATTTAAAAACAAATCCGTGCCTGTGTTCTCAAAAATTAATTAATACATAATAAAAAAAATCAAATCCTTTAAGTTAATATATATTTGCCATATTTGTGGAGGTTTTTATATTCTTCTCATTAAGATTTGCCAGCCAGTGTTAATTTCTGCTGCTTCAGCTGATCCTGGCTGTGTGACACACCACTATTTATATTAAATATTGTCCCACCAATGTTACATTAATGTTGGTTTTACCACTTGCCTGCCCCTGTCAGCAAGGTCTTTTTAATCAGGTCCTTTAAAGAACAGCATTCCTGGTACAAGGAATTGTGTGTTAGAGATCAGCTGCTGCTCAGGAATGGAATTCCAGAGCCAAGAGCCCGAGCTCAGCAAAGGTTGAGGTTTGTTTTCCACAGCACGGAAATGGAACTGAGGGCACCAGGTGCAGAAGCTGCCTCCTCCCAGTCCCAACTGCAGCCACACAGGAAGGAATTCCAGAGGTTTATATAGTTAATATATATTTCTATATATTCATAGAGGTTTAAATAGCAGTCTTGCTGCTGCATTACTTCAACTCACTCTCTCCTCTTCCATCCTGGCTGTGCTACCACCTTTCTGCTGATGAATATTTTCCTGTTGCTTCATTAGTTTCCAGAGCAAACATCTCATCTTTGAGCTCCCAAATTTAGCTACCAGCTCTAAGCATGGCAGTAATGTACCTTACAAACTCCAGAAGCTTTCTGCCTCCTGAAGCATCATTTTCAATATAAAATGCCCTGTGTTGCTACAAGAGCCATCAGTGAACCCAGAACCAGAAATGTGTTTAAATACCCCATTTGTCTCCTGTTTTATAAGTGTTTGTGAGATGAGATTGAGAAACTGCTCCCTGGAAATGCTGATGCAAATTCCTTCTTATAGTAATTAATTTATCTGTGCAATAGAATAAAACCCAGGTGATCCAGCCAAGTAGCTTGTTTCCAGAATGCATGGGAAGCTCAGTCCTTTAACTGGGATGTTCTCCCAGGTTCCAGTTATCTGTTATTTAAAGACTTTGAAGACAAGAGGGTGAATCCAAACCATTACATTAAGCAGGAGTGGGAAGACTTGCACTCCATGAACTGAACCCCTTTCAGTCACCTCTTAATATTTTGGGCTTCGTAATGTCCTCCTGCAGGGAGTCTTCCCTTTGCTTTTTCAGCCATTTGTTGCAAAAATGTTATTTCTAGACAAAAAGGGGTTTATGACACTGGCACAAAGTCACATATTTCCATGTTCCAGTGGAATACTGACACCCCATTAAAAACCACAGTACAGCAGTGACATTAATCCCCCCCCCAAAGACCAGCTCTCATCTTTCATAGCTTTAATCAGTCTGTTTCTAACCTGAAACTGTTTAATAATAGAAATGAGAATAAAGCTGCAAACCACAAGGTTTATCGCAACAGAATTCATTCCAGCAAGAGTCTTTGCTCGTGTTAAAGTTCTTAATGAACTTTCAGAACACACTAATTTGTTGAGGACAGATTATAAAAGACAAATTGTCACTCAGCTTTCAAACAGCTCATTTCCGAAGCGACCTCACAGTCATTTGGGTCTTCGTGATACAACACAGGAACTGTTTTATTCCAAGAGATTTTAAGAAAAATTAAGTTTAGCAAGACCTGCATTCTCATTCCACCTTGATCCATATAAACAAAATAATACCAAAGTAGGATTCCTTACATTTATTGATCACTGCTGGGGATGATTTATCACATTTAAATTCTTTCACATCAGCTTCATAGCCTGAGTCTTTCATCTAAGTTATCATCATATCTGCAAAGAATTAATACTTTTTATATTAAAAAGCAACTCAGTTATGCTGTGTGGCACCTAACATAAAATAAAGCTTTCAATGCAGAAAATATACAGTAAAAAAAAGTTGAACAGTCAAACAAACCAATAAGCAAATACATTTTTACTAGAGAAAAACGGCATCTCTGACAATATATTTGTTTCGTGTTTCCTATTTTTACTTTCTCCCCCTCACCATCTGCCTCTGTTCTGCTTTCTCTTTCAAAAAGCATCCACCTCGTTTTTAGCTTTGCTCACCCCATCACAGGATTCAGGCTGAATAGAAACAAAATTCCCAATGCCAGAGCCACAAAAGGCACTGCCTCTTCATAAAAGGCCTTCTAAAAATAACTCTCCTTTTTCTTACAATAGCTGCAGGTTCTTTAAGAGACAGAATCCGTATCGATTCAGTGCCCTCCTACACACACCCTCTAGACAAAGGAGCTCCAGTTGTTTAGCCCCTGGTAGCTCTGGACTGTACCTGTACCTTCAGTGCTGCTGCTTTTGCCAGATCTTCCCCTGTTCTTTTGGTAGCCAGCACTGAATCCCACAGAGCGAGATCCCACAGTGTGGAGAAAGAAGGTGAATTACAGGACCTGCAGGAATTCCAGCTGTTTCTGTGTTTGAGCAGAGATTGTGTGGTTGAACTACACTGGACTCCTGGTGAAGGCTTCAAGCCAGCGAGATGGTTGGCTTTGCTTAAGACAACCTGCATGAAAATAAAAGCATTTTGGGGAGACAAGAAGGAAATAGCGAGAAATAGAGAATGCCTTTCATTGACGTGTGTGCCGTGCAGCGCTCAGGAGAGCTCTGCAGTGCCAGAACCTGCACTGGGCTGTGTCCAGAGAAGGCAAGGGATAATAAGGAGAAGATAAAATACAGAAAGGTACTTGCCAGTGGCAGCACAATAATCTGAGTCCTGGGGCAAATCCCTGGAGGGACATAAAGCTTGTGGCAGTTTCTCATTTATGAGTCAATTCTCTGTAGCAACCATGTGAATTTGGTAAGTGAACCTTAGTGAATTCGGTATTGCAGTCAGTGCTTGGGCTGAGGAAAACCTCTGGACCCAGCCTGGGTACAGCCCTGAGGTTCTGGGTCAGCCTGGGGAGAACATGCCCTGTGCAGTGCCGGGAGGAGCTGAGCCAGGTCTGACACCCTCCCAGCTCCCGCTGCTCATCCTTGTGCCTGCAGAGCCAGCGGGGACCTTGCCAAGGGAACAGTGTGGAAGCAGTGAGGGACCCACTGTTGTGCTGTGTCTCTGGGGTCCTGGGAGCTGTTGGGGTGGGCGTGGGAGTTGTCACAAAATGACAGTCAGTTAGGTTGGAAAAGACCTCTGAGATCATCAAGTCCAACACCACCATGTCAATTAGATCATGGCACTAAGTGCCGTGTCCAGTCATTTCCTTAAACACTTCCAGGGATGGTGACTCCACCACCTCCCTTGCAGCCCACTCCAGTGTTTAATCACCCTTTCCATGAATAAATTGTTCCTGATATTCAACCTAAACCTCCCCTTGTATCAATTAAGGCTGTGCCCTCTTGTCCTATTGCTGGTTGCCTGGGAGAGGTGACCGACCCCCGCCTGGCTCCAACCTCCTTCCAGGGAGTTGTCGAGACCGATAAGGCCTCCTGTGGGGTTATTCCAGAGTCGGAAGGCTGGATGGGGGTGGAAAAAAAATATGGAACGCTTCACGAATTTGCGTGTCATCCTTGCGCAGGGGCCATGCTAATCTTCTCTGTATCGTTCCAATTTTAGTATATGTGCTGCCGAAGCGAGCACGACTGTGAGCTTGACCATGCCGCTATTTGTACCGCGGCAATCCGTATTCCGCAAGGTCACGGTGACCCCGGATGGGTGGGACGAGCCGGTGGTGCCGGTGGTGTAACTGTAACACACCCCCCCGACCATGCCTC